TAGCTTTTTATGAGGGATTTTTACCCTTTCCAATTCTCCCATGAAAAATTAAGTGGTTTGAATCTTAGCAATCATCTTTGTTTGTTATTTCAATGTTTTGTGAATGGTTATAAAATATTGGATCTCAAGTTTCAAGGGTTTACATTTACTAGGTGAAGAGTTTTAGTCTTTAAAAGACTGAATAAAGATATTTGCAATGTTAGTTGGTGCTTTATGTTCCAAGAGGCTTATTTGCAACACTTATGGAGAGTTATTTCAGATCTTAAGCCTTTTCTGATTTAGTTGGGTGGTGATGGAGGTCTGCATGGAGACGTTCTTTTTAAATTTCAAGCAGCATGGTTAACCCACAAGGAATGTGGTGACTTTATGTCCAATATGTGGGAGGGTTCATTAGGCATCCAAAAAGCCCTTTTAAGGTTCACTACAAAAGCCAAATAATGGAATAAAGCAATCTTTTGTAAAATCTTTTATAAGAAGAAAAGGCTGCTTGTATGTCCAGGGCGAGTGGAGAAAAGCCTTGGAAACTAGCCCTTCTTAGTAGTTTTAGGATCTTGAATATAGCTTACATCTAGAATAAGAGACAACCCTGCGTCGAGAAGAAATTTATTGGATGCAGAAGTCTAAGGCAAATTGGTTGAAATTGGGTGACTGTAACCCCAATTATTTTCATCTTTGGACAACACGTAGGAAAAGTAAGCTTAAAGTTCTTCGCATTTGCTCTTTGGAAGGGGATTAATGTGATGACCAGGAAATGTTGAAATCTCAAGTGGTGGATTGTTTCAAAACCCTATACTCCAAAGATGATGTAATTCTCTCATTATTTCTGATAAAGGGGTGTTTCCTTTCGCCTGATCAAACTGCCCAAGCTAATATGGCAAGGCTAGTTAAAGATCAAGAGGTTTATGATGCTTTATTTGAGATAAAGTCTCTTAAAGCTCCAAGTGGTGATGGATTTCTCATGTTTATAGTTATTAATATGGTATGATACGCAATACATATCATACAATACGATATAATATGGATAAAAATGATATGCATCGGTATATATATATATATATATATATCATATTTAATTGATTATCAAAGGTGTATCATCCAATTCATTAGTGTATCATATGACACATACAATATGCACAATACACTTCATCTTGATTTTTTTACACAGTGTCAAATTATGCTTTCAATTTATTGGATTCAATTTTGAATTTTGAGTTAAATCTATGAAAAATGGAAAGTTTTGCTCAATTTTATCCTATCCAAGTCTAAAATATTATATTAAAGTACAACTATATGATGAAGTGAAGTTTGAATACTTTTTGCAAAGGACAAGTCGTTTCAAATGGACTTTTTAGTTTTTAATAGCTTATTTAGGGCCTTAAGTTAATTGAAGCTTCTAGAAGCGTACTATGCTAGTACTTGTTTTTTTTGAAAGACCATACCGTACTAGTACTTGTAATTCAACATTTAGGAGTTGAAGGGAAAAAAATTGAAGACATCTTTTTGGCCTTTTGTTTTCTCTACGATTAACAAGAGGCCATTGTCAAACTTTGAAGCACTTTGAAATAGAGTTTTAAATTTATACTTCTAAAAGTAATATATATATATTATTTGTGTTTTAGTCAATCTAAATTAATACGTAAATATTTATAGGTTTTTCGTTTTAGTGGTTGTATACATATTATTTATAATTAATTTTAAAATTTTATGCCTTATTTTACGATATGATACGATATTTGATATTCAATACTTAAAAATTGAATTTCGATACACGATACATATCTCAATTTATCTCTCATTGTATATGTTCGTAGTGTGTTTGAAAGGGCAAATGTGTGCTAAGAATTAGGTAGGTCGATTATTACTTTGATCCCAAAAGTCAAATCTTTGGAACATATCTCTCAATTTTGGGCAATTGGTATTTTGTCGGTGGTCTTTAAAGGCCTAATGAAAATGTTAATTAATCGTTTGAAACCATATATGAGTCATTTGGTAGTAGAAACACAATCTAGTTTTATCCTAGAGAGATAAATCATAAATAATATTGTTATTGATCAAAAGGTAGTACACTTCTTCAAAAAGCATCAAGGTAGATCGAGATGGATGATGATTAAAATTGATTTTGAGAAAGCATACAATTGTCTTCTATGAGAATTTATTTATGACACTTTAGTTGAAGTTAACATTCTTGAATCTGTGGTCAATATCATACTTTGTAGCTAGAATTGTTGTAGCTCTCAAATTCTTTAAAATGGAACTCTATTATATAGTTTTGCTCCATCAAGAAGGATGAGACAAGGAGATTTGTTGTCTCCATATCTTTTTTTTTTCTTGTGCATAGAAAGTCTAGAGCATGGCATCAAAGTGGCGGCCTCGCAAAGCCTTTGGAAACTAATTAAACTTTGTCGACAAGGTCCTTATTTCACCCACCTTTTTTTTTTCACAAAAGATCTAATCTTATTTACAAAGGCTTCGATTTCCCAAACGTAGGTGATTAAGGGAGTTTTGGAAGACTTTTGTATTTGCTTAGGTGAAAAAGTTAGTTTTGAAAAATCCTTCTTTGGTGGCTAAAAAAATGTCTCAAAGGACCTCGTTAGAGATCTTTCTGTGAACTCAGGTTTTGTCTATTTGGAAGATATGGGTCAATACCTGGGACTTTCGTTATTACATGGGCGTAAGGGCATCCATCTTTTTCAACAATCAAAGGAGAAGTTATATGGCAAATTGAGTACTTGGAAGGCTTCCACTCTTTCCTTCGCAGGTAAACTCACTTTAATTAAATCTATTCTCTCTATGATTCCTTATTATACAATGCAAATTGTTGCTATTCTTGCAAATACTTGTAAGTGAATTAAGGTCCTTTGTCAAAGACTCCAATTCTAGGAAAGTGCATTTAATGAGCTAGATGGATGCCTGTAAGCCCAAAGATGAAGAAGGTTTGGGTATTCATAGTTTAAGAATCATGAATGATGCATTCCTTTTTAAATTATGTTGGCATATTGTATCCAAGACAAACACACGTTAGGTGAAAGGATTGTGAGAAAACTACAATCATGGTTTTTGAGAATAGGCATCGTGTAGGTTCTTCTATGCTCCGGGCATCTTTTAGTCGCCTTCAAAAAAAATTTAAGAAGAATATTCGTTGGGCCATTGGTGATGGTCAATTGACATGTTTTTGGACTGATATTTGGGTGAAGGAACACCCTCTTATAGATGCTGCTCAATCAATGGGGATGGACATTAAAGATTAGAGTTGTGTGAATAGCTTTAGTTTTTTGAATAAGGAATAGGATTGGAGTTCTTTGTCTAACTGTCCTCTAATAAAAGAGTTGAGTTTAATTTCTAGTTCTGCACCGCCTCGTTCTTCTTCTAGTCGATTCACACTGAATTCAGCTTATGAATATTTGCGAGAGATTTCTACTTTGGAGACTGAGATTAATAGGGCTCTATGGAATTTGGGGTGAAAGTGGGAAAGTCCATAACGCATTCGAATGTTTTTGCTCCATTGCATTTAGGATCATTTTTTAACTAATCAAGAAAGAGTTTGTCATCATCCTTCGAACAATCCATCTTGAACATAGAGTCATTTAGAGAATGAATAAATTTACATGAGTTAAGGGATTGTTCCTTTGTAAATGCTATTTGGACAAGGCTCCTACCTTGGGAAAACTATGGGAACGTTTTCTCGTCAGGTGCATTAGATTGGTTTTGGTTTAATCTTAGTGAGCAAAGAGTTTATGCTAATGGTATTCCTTGAACTGTTGTATTAGAAATCACAAGTTGGTTCCTTTGGAAATGGCAAAACTCTCTCATTTTTAAGACAAGGTTGTTAGCCGTATTATTTTGATTCACAGCTTGTCTTTTGCCAGTGCATCATTACTGTTCGAAAAACCTTGAGTGTGTGGATATCTCTCAAACCAAAGAGAAAAAGTTCTCATTGATTGGTACGCTCCTCCTTTAGGATGGATTTCTTTGAATTTAGATGGTGCTCATCGTCGATCTACAAAACTCACAGCAGCATGTGGTTTTATTCGAAACCCTACACGTGAAGGGCGGGGTGGTTTTGCATTTTGCCTTGGGAAATGCACAACGCATGGTGTGGAGCTCTAGGTGGTATCTCAAGGATTACGTCTTGCACGATACTCAGGCCTTTGCAAAATTGATCTTCAAATTGACAACAAACTTGTTATTCTGGCCATTACTTCTCCTCTAGTTCATCCATGTTCCAACTCGGACTTGATTCAAGCTATTCAGGATCTCCATTGTCAATGGGAAGTTAGTATCCATCATGTCTTTCAAAAGGGTAATGCCTTGGTAGATTTTATGGCTAATAACAGTTTTTTTCCTTTGGCTGAGGAATTTATTAGTTTTGGCTCTCCTCCTATTAGACCTTGGGACCTATTGATGAATGATTAAACTGTAACGTTTTTTGTTTTGTTCATTTAATAATAATAAAAATATCAATACTGATTAACAATGTCTAATATTCAATGCTCTAGTTGGTTATTTGTCTTTATAACTATATGTTTATATCTAATGTTAGTGTTTATAATTTATGTTAAACCAAAAAAAAAATATTAAAAATTATAACATCTAAAAAGATAAAATAATAAATAGCATATAAAAATACTGGTACTAATTGTATAGATAAAACTATAAAATTAATTATATTTATACAAATATTTATTATTTGTTTGAACTTTAATTTTTCTGTGACATTTTTATTTTAAATTTTACAGAATGAATTAATGATATCGACTTAACATTGATTTGAAAAGGTGAAATTTAATCGCATTCGAATTTACAAAATTATCTAGAGCTTATATGTATCTTAAAATGATCGAAAATTAGGTCAAACCAGTGTGAATCCAAAACTATTTACACTTGAAATAGTCTAAATCTGAACAATCCGAACCAATATGACCCGAACCCTAAACCCGAAGAACCGCCCAATTTACACCTCAAATGGGCCTTTGGTATTTTTTGGCAAAAACGTAGGTAAGGTGGATTCGGTGCCCTAAACTTGATCTCTCTGTCTCACAAATGGAGTCTTTGCTAGCCAACTACGCTTCCTCCGACGAAGAGGAAGAGCAACAGCACCAACAACCTCCTCCTCCTCTTCACGTTTCCTCTCTCCCTCAACCCAAATCATCTGCCCTTTTCTCTTCTCTTCCGCAGCCAAAACAACCCTCCAAAGCCCCCAACGTCCCAATCGACCATGCTAACCAAAGAGAAGATGTCGAAATTCCGAAACCCTCTGTTCCTCATCCCAAAACCCCATCCAATCTTTTCTCTTCTCTTCCTCAACCCAAATCTCAAACCCCACAGGAACAGCTACCAACCAATCCTTCCAATGTCAAAAGAATTGTCCAATTCAAGCCTCCCATAATCCGCACCAATCACGATGATGACGATGATGACGATGGCGATGACGATGACGAAGAGAAAGAAAGACGAAGGCGCAGAGAATCCGAAACCCTGGCTCAAGGTCCTTCAGTAAAATCCTTTCTATCTAGCATTCCTGCGCCCAGGAACTCGACTACGTTGGGTGTTGCTCCCTCTTCAGGTTCAGGGAGAAGATCCATTATCGAAACCCAAGTGCCCACATCGACTTCAGCCGCTTTTGAAGACAAAAATGAGGCAAGTATTAATCAAAATGCACCCAATCATTCGAATTATGAATCGGGTGTTGATTCAAGTGCTGGAAACTCTGGGAATTATCAATCGAGTATTAGTCATAATGCTGGCAACTATGGACACTCTGAATCAGTTGTTGACCAAAATGTAGGCCATTATGCAACTTATGCTGATTTTAGTAGCTATCAATCGAGTAGTGATCCAAATATTGGGAGCATTGGTGGGGTTAATAGTTATGGGACTGACGGGAATTTCCATGGACAATATGAGAATAATTGGGTTGATGGGTCAGCTGCGACTACGTTGCCAGAGACCACTGGGATAGCTGAAATTGGGGTGAAAGTTAAAGGAAAGAGAGGGAGGAATGAGTTACCTACAGAGATTGTTGAGGTGAAGCAGGATGAGCTTATGAAAAATCGGCCGAGGGAAGACCAGGTCAGGATGACTGGAATTGCTTTTGGGCCTTCTTACCAGGTATTGAACTTAAAAGCTATCTAATTCTTCAGCTTGTTCGTTTACTTTTATCTGATGAGTTTTATATATTTGGTTGGGGTTGCTTTAGTATACATTTGCGTTTGCTGTTTGGTTCTAACGTACACTTGCTTTTGTATTACTTTCATTGAATCCTGATTTTTCACCAGCTAGTTGTTAGTGGTTAAGGGTTTTTAGACTTGCAGTGGCTTATCTTCAGCTAGTAATTGACCAATCAAGGATATTCTTCCTTGGGAAAGAAAAAGGTTGTTTCGGCATAGATTGATATGATAGTAAGTCAAGTTGTGTAAATTTAGTTCGTAGTATTTGAAGCTATAAATACTCATGATCCAAGCAAGCATACATATTGCAAAGTTACTAGTAAAGCTACAAGAGATATATACTTCAAAGATACTCTGCATTGTGAATTTTGGATAATTTTAAATATTGATGTTAATAATTTTCCAATGCTTTGCTTATTTCAATGATCATGAGTAAGGGTAACAAAGAAGTACTAATGTCACACCAAGCCTTTCAAAGGAAGTAGTAGGGTGCTTCAATCCCACATCGGGTAGGTAGGGAGATCCTAGATATAAACATTGCACACATTATCAGGTTAACCTTTTGGTGAAAGGTAATTGCCGCATGGCAAAGTGGTATTATAGCGGACCAAATTAGACTCGACTCATGCCTAGCACCTCTAGAGGGAGGCAAGGCAACAAGGGTGTCGTCGAATTAGGTGGGGGTGAATGTCATGCCAAGCGCTTCGAAGGAAGTAGGTAGGGTGCATTAATTCCACATCAGGCAGGTAGGGAGATCTTGAAAAACTTATAAACATGGGCGTTGCACACCATGTCAGGTTAACTTTTTGGGGAGAGGGCAATGGTCTCGTGACACATACACCATGCATGTGAATGCTTGGGTTTTGAATATAAAAAATTTTGCTCTAGTTTTGGATTTCCTAGTATCTCATATTAACTTTTCTCTCCCTACACACACTGACCAATCTTCCCCCACCAGCATGGTGGACAGCATCAACACATGGCTATCCCCAGTGAGTTCTTCCATCTCTTATCCTGCTCTTTCTCTCTGATTGAATCTCTAACCAAAGGAGATAAAAAAGCTCACCTTTACAAAGCAAGGGTCATGATAAAGTTGATTTACAACTATATTTGAAAGTACCACACTACAAAATTGAGCATCATCTAAGACTAATGATTACTTGAATTACAAAGGTAGAATTTATGAAAATTCAACCCATTTTTCAATCCTGATAAAATCAGGAGAGCTCCAGTTTGATCATGGATGTCCAAATCAGGAGGTACTGATCAAAGGCTAGAAAAGAGTGAGCACTTGAAATCTGAAGTTTTAATCTAACTAATTTTGCTACTCCAATGGAAGAGAATTTTTAGCAAATGTCGACTTATTAAACTTGCTATTGGAATTAGATGGCTTGTTGGAAGCTACTTCTCACATTTTTTCCACTGAATGCTAATTTGACTAGATTTTTGTCTAAGCATAGATAGAAGCTCATGTAAGAAAGGATCCAATCAAGTCAGGAAAAGGTAAGTAAGAATAGACGAGTGGCTGGCTGTAGGTCAATGAAATATTGGAGAAAGAAGGCAGAGCGTAAAGGTTGCAGAAACAAAAGAAAATAGATAAGAAAAATAAAAGATAAAAATGTCATAATCAAAGGGGAAAAAGGTATAAAGACAAAACTGTGATTTAAATTCAGAAACCATTGCCCAGACACCTCACATATTTTGGTAATTGTGGTTGTGTAACCTTTAGCTGTAACTTAGACACAGAATTAGCATTATACCAATTTGAAAATTGAAGGTTTCCACTATAACCTTTGAGGTTAAAGGTTTTATGCATGACCAATGTAAGTTACCAAAAAGGGAAAAGAAGGAACAGTGAGCTTTTGAAGTCATGTTTTGTTCTTTTTCAAATGTGCCAATATATATCAATACTAATATGCTATTAATAATCATGTTAAGTATGTTATTAAGTGATATTTTTATGTTTCTCTAGGATAGAATTTTTTGTTTCCTTTAGTTTCAAGTGTCAGAGGTAGTTTACTAATAGTAGATTTTTATTCATAGTTTAAAATGTTGTCAATTTTGGTGGATCTCACGTCCTTATAGGAAGAGAATCACTGGGACACAACAGATGGGCCTGTAACTTCTTTTTTAGGGAACAAATATGAGATGAGCCTGTTAACTCCTTTTTTAGGGAACAAATATGAGAATGTTAGCAGCTATTATGCTATATTTGCAAATTGCAATTATCTGAAACAACATTGACCCTAGGTGTTATGCCTGGACCTCATCCTTCTACTCTAATCTCTAGTTTTCTGTCTTATATCAAATTTTGGTCCTAAATCGAGCCATCAATTACATTCTAACCAATCGCATCCAAATTGACCATCAAATGTAAACCTTAACTGTTTCATTGATATGGTTCACAACCTACACTACCTATGTTCATTTGTCTTTTGGATTATATAGGTGACAATTGAATGTGGGAACTTGAATATTTAATTTGCAAGATTATAGATCTTGATATGAATATATATATATATATATATATATATAGCATTGTTTTAGTTATTTTGCTTTAGTTGTCTGGAAAAGTGGCAGCCAGATGTAGCTAATAATTTGTGATTAATTGTTGCTGAATCAATTTGTATAGCTGTGGTAAATTATATGATCCAATTTTTATGGTATTTACTTTCTTCTCTGCGTTTATAGCCTGCTGCGACAAAAGGGAAACCTTCAAAACTTCACAAGAGGAAGCATCAAATTGGTTCTCTGTACTTTGATATGAAGCAAAAGGAGATGGAGCTGCAGGAGAGGCGATCTAGAGGCTTGCTCACTAAAGCTGAAACACAAGCCAAGTACGGATGGTGATCTTGTAAAATTGACCAATCTGAAATAGAATGGTAGTTGGTGGTAGTTCCTGTACATCTTGTCTCCTTTTTTTCTCAAAAGTTGTGTCAATTATCTGCACTAATATTTCTACAAGCTGCATTATTATTAGTGTTAAGGAATTTTCTTTACAGGATATCTTTATTTTAAGCTGAGAACTTCAGAATATATGAAATTGACAGAAAATGTTATTGAGCTCTGATATTAGGCTACTTTAAATTTAGGTTTAATCTATTTGAAAATCATATTAGTATATATATTATCTTAACCATAAATAAACATATAAGCTTATTACATTATAATATAAGAATAAAATAATCCATACATGATATAATAATAAGGAAAAAGCAAAATAAGTAGCATTAGTAATAATTATGAGTAGGGATTTACTTTTCATTTCATTATTTTTATTAGGGACGGATATAGTCTGTGTGGACGATTTTAAAGTAAAGATCACAAACCACTTGTATAAGAATTTTTTTTTTTTTGAGGAAAGATGAATATATCATTATTTCATCAACATCAACACATTGTGAGTGACTTTATATTAATATATAGCAATTACCATTCACAATATTACATAAAGCATGACAGATAAGCTTTATTAAAAATCTTATCATGAAAAAACTCAATGGGATAAAAATCACAAGGAAAAAAGAGTTCCCAAGTTACTCATGCATTAAAAATAACCAAATTTAAGCTCACACACCTTTTAATTAATTGAGCAACAAGGCATCTTTAATCACATGATCTCTAAGCAGGTTTGGTATGAGAGAAGCATCCCTCCATATGGATTGATCTGCTGGCATATTCTTAGCAAACTTTGCTACCATATGAGCCACCACGTTGCTTCTCCTATGCGCATGCTGCACAATCTGCGTTTTCATTTCCTCCAATACCAACAAAGCCAAAGCCCTTCTGAAATTGTTACGTGAAATCCATCCAGCCACCAAGAGGCTGTCGACTTCTATCTCATCAAGCATTATATTTTTTTTCCGTACGCATCAGCATCTCCCATGTAACAGTCCTCAATTCTGCATCGTAAGCACGAGTTGTGTAACATTCTTTTTGCACCCATGAGTACCACGCCACCATTAGAGTTTCTAACCACAAAACTCGCAACCATCGTGGCTTCACCATCCCTTACAAATAAGGCAGCATCTGAGTTCAACTTTAGACCATTAGGTCTACTTTAAGGTGTCCACAACACGGCATTGATATGTAGCATATTATAGGCAGAACAACTGGCCTCCCTATATTGCCAGCATAGAGTCAAGCCTATATGCATGACCTCACCTGGTTCCTCGCCTAGTTCCTTCTTCTTGTCCTTAAATATCAGCAAGTTTCTAACTTCCCATATTGCCCATAAAACACAGAATTTCTTGAATATTCTCGTCATCAATTTGATCAAACAGGAAACAAATCCACTTAAATAAATTATGAAACTGAAACCTAATATCTCCAAATCCCTATCCCGAAGGTAACCACACTACTCGAGCATGCTGACAATTGCATAAACACTGAAAATCTGTTTATGGATCATCGCCATAGAAATAACAAAGCATATCCACTTTTACATGCCGTTTATGTAAAGTGGCCCTAGCAGGAAGAATTCCTATCATAGCTCTCCAAGCAAACAGGAGTATATTCTTAGAAATATTTAAATTCCAAATTACTAAAAAATTATTTAAGGAGTTTGCCCCATCATTACTGCTTGTTATAAAACAAAGTAGTCTGCAGTCAGATTTAACAGTATACTCACCCTGCTTATTATCAAACCATATTTGCGAATCATTTGGAAGCCTCCTACTAATTGGGATTGGTAAAATCAAATTGCATTCAAACGGTGGGAAATATCTATTAATTTCTTCTACATCCCACAACTTTGTACTTGAATCAAACAAGTCGCATACTAGAATTACCTCCGATACTTCGCCATGATACATTAATGCCAGTCTCGATGTCTCATACGGAATCCAACTATCTTTATTGACAAAGATATCAGTTCCATCTCCTACTCTCCAAAGCAACCCTTTCTTGATTACCATCTGACTTTCTCTAATACTTGTCTAACTATAACTCGAATTTGATCCAATTGGAGCACCAACAAATTCATGCCTAGGAAAATACCTTGCCTTTAACACTTGGTACGCAAGAGTGGGTTCTTTCATTTGTAGCTTCCAACCTTGTTTTGCAAGCATTGCTATATTAAAATTCCGTGTATCTCGAAAACCCATTCCACTAGACAATTTAGATTTCAACATTGAGTTCCAGTTCTTCCTGTGAATCTTCCTATCCTTCTCATCACCCCTTACCAAAATCTAGCAATTGCAAAATCAATGTCTTGACGAACATAATCCGGTAACTTAAAGCAACTCATCACATATGTAGGAATGGCATGTGCAACTGATTTAAGAAATACCTCCTTACCTGCTAATCTCCATCATACCAAACCACGTAGCAATTCCAGTTAAAAGTTTGTTTCTTCATCAAACAAGTTGAATTTCTTCCACCTCTCGCTAATCTCCTCCATGAATTCAGAGTTAACAACTTATTCAAAATAAACAAACCACGTAGCAGAAAACTAAAGGCCAATGACTAATGAAATTAGCCCTAACCAACACTTTTCCTAAAAATAGAGAACAGCGAGGGTTTTTAGTGAGAGAGAAGAGGAACGACGGTTTTTTATTTTATTAGATTATTAACCACTTGTATAAGATTGATCTTGAAAATTTTAGATCATAAATCAATCCATCCATTTGTTTGTTTGTTTGTATCTAACATAAATGTTTTAAGTTAACAATTAAAAGGGTATTGCTTTTTTTTTTTTTCTCATATGATTGACCCCTTGATTCTATAATTAAAAAAAAAAACCTTTAATTAAGATCATTATCATAAAGGTTGATGAAAATCAAATAGTTACCAAATTCAGCAATATTATTACAAAGTGATACAATGAAATTATTATTAATTTATTGTTAGGTTTTATTTCAAAATTTTAATTTTTGTTTACTACTTTTTTAATATTTTGTTTAATTTTGTTGTGTTTTGTTGGTAGTATTTTGTTTGTTTGTTTGTATTTGACATAGATGTTTTAAGCTAACAATTAATGTAAATAACTATTTAATTAATTCAGTGATCAAAACCTTGAAAAGACTAGTGTCTTGTTTTTTCATATGATTGAAACCTCGATTCTATAATTAAAAAAACAAACTATAATTACAATCATTATCGTAACGGTATATGACAATCAAATAGTTACCAAATTCAGAAATGTAATTAAAAAGTGATATATTGACATTACTATTAATTTATTGTTAGGTTTTATTTCACAATTTAGCATTTGTTTAATTTTTTAATATTTTCTTTGTTGTGTTTTATTTTGTTGGCAATTTTTTTATTTATTATTTTTTATATATTTATATTTGATATAAATGTTTTAAGTTAACAATTAACATAAATATCTCTTTAGCTCATAAAAATATTCTTTTTATTATGAATTTGAGTCTTAAAATGTATAAATATTTAGTTTATTTCATATAAGAATTTTAAATAATTATTATTTTAGAATCTGAAAAATATTTGGTCATGTTGTTTTCGACCCTTCGATCTAAGGCGGTGGATAAGTGTTCAAAGCCATGAACCATTGAAAAAATGTTGATCCTAACAAACTTGAAACGTAACCACTTGTCTAGTCACAAGATTATCCTAAAATCGATCTAATAGGATTTATTATCATTTTCCATGGCCTCACTTTTAAAATATTTTTTTTTGGACTAAATGGCATTAGTCTAATCATAATTGCTTTCAAAATATCAAAGAACTATAGAGGTTTTATTGTTTATCAAGGTACTAAAGTACTAATTGTAGCAGTTAAATCAAAACTAGTGAGATTTTGTCACAATAGTCGAATAGAGGGCCTAAAAGTTGAATTATTAAGTTTTTAAGTTCAATGAGTTCAAATCTCATTATGTTGGATTCTTATATTTACATAGTGGTTTATTGGTTTATTTGTTGATTGTTCTTCCTTTGGAAGGCTTTGTTTGATCCATACAACTTGCGTTTGTTTTCTTACCATATTGTAAAGAGAATTTTGTAATAAGAAAAAAAAGAAGCATTGCAAATAATTAAAAGAATGTACTAGAGACAACAAAGAGGAAGATTGGAGCAATCTTTTAAATACTGAGTGTTATGGCAAATGAAAGATAATAGATGAGTAGTGTTGGTGCAAATGAGGTTTAGATGAAATTCAAGGAATTAACAAAATTAACTCTAAGGCAAACCTTTCAATAGACACCATCTTTAAGACTTATTTCAGCCCCAACACTAAGTATGCAAAAAAAAAAATTATACAAATAGCTTTAGGGGTACAATGAAGCCAATGTCTAACTTTATCAATACACTTTATGAGAGTAAACTGTTGGATACACTCAAGGGTTTGCAATGTTGTTCAGCTTTAGAACCTACTTTTTTTAGCAAGTATTTATAAGGACTTTGGACTCCTTTGGTAGTTGATGGGAACTTAAGTTTTTATATTAATTTTAAGAACATAACACTTCTCTTACTCTTGGATTTTTTTCCTTGTTTTTCTTGCTTTTTTGTGTGTCAAAATGGTTGGCAGTAAGTCCTTCATAAAGACTTGCAAGTGTCTCTTCTTAAGGACACAACTCTTTCATCAAGGCAACTCTGTCTTAAAGATACCTTTGCATTTTGCAAAGCACAATTCTTGGATAAATCTATTGTTTCAATAATCACTTTATGAAAGGACAACCATTCGTTCTATAAGACATAATTATAACATAATAACTTTTCATATCTAAATTTTTGAGTTATGGTGTTTTTCTTGTTGTCTCATAACCTTTGGATTTAGAGGTTTTTTCTAATATGCCACTTTACTAAAAGACAACTATTCACATGAAAAACATACCTACAATCCAATAGTCACACTATGTGACATAAGCTTTGAACTAAGATAGCTTTTCATTTATAAAGACAATCTTTTATTTTGAAAATACACCAACAGTTAGTAGAGTAATGGTTGAGAATAGGTAGAAAAGAAGTGAGTAGTAGAGTAATAGTATTGTCAAAACAATTAAGACTAAGAATAGGGTAGAAAAGAACTAAGTAGAAAAGAGTAAAAGAAAGAAGCTAAGAGTGAAAATATGTTTGCAATAGGTCAAGACAATCTTGTTTTGTCAAAAT